GTGGGGGGGGGGTTAAACGAGGCGTTTTAGGAGGGCGTGGACGAGTCTTAACTTTTATAAAGAATATCTCTTTGGGTTTGAGACTTTAGTCTTTGCAACTTTAGGGATCTTATCTATTCACGAGCAGCTTGTAACACTCCAAAGAGAAAGGAAAACTTGAAATCGCATCATATAACCCATTTAAATTTGTTAATGTGGACAACATGAAAAATGCCCGTCCTCATGCCCAAAACTGTGGTGTTGTGTGTAGAGCTGTAGAACTAAAATTTAGCTTTATGTTTTCAGACATCCAGACGCTAAGAGAAGGCGTTCGGATGAATACCGCTCTCCGAACTATTACCCAGGTGGAGGAGGGCATCCACAGGACTTCCGAAGGATGCCAGACCACAGGGGACCCCCTGGAAACCATGGCCCAATGGGGCCCGATCACTACCGCCCGTTCCACCCCGACAAACCCCCGCCCCTGATTGACCCCCGCTCCCCTCAGTCTCAGAAATCCCCTCTTGAGCCCATCTCACCTGCTTTGGAAAGAACTGCAGAGCAGAAACCTGTGACGGACTTTAATTGGAACAACAGGAAGACGTGAGGTGAATACTTGGTTAGTGCAGAGACGGTCTGTACTGCCAAAGGTCATGGCAGAAAGGCCACCTCAGGCAATAAATGGAGCCACCACCAAACTCCTCTTTATCGCCACTGTGTCCTCCGCTCTCTTCTAGGTTTCACAACCAGGTTAAGTCTGCCGTTTTGGACTGAGGAGACAGAACAAAGCGTGGTTAGTCCTATGGACTATGATTGAACTTGATGAAGTGTTGAAGTTTGCCTAAGTTAGAAAGTGCCTCGTGTATTTGGTCTTTGTTGAGAGTCCTTGGCAGAAAGGGACTATCCCCAAAGCAGACTTTTCTTTGATGTTCATGTCTTTTTGTTTTGTGTTGTTTTGGTTTGTGCAAAAAATGAAATTTTTTTTTTTCATGAAAGTAGCCTTTGTGGGAGGAGAAAAAAGGAATTGTTCTAATTGCACCTTCAGATGTTGATTCATTGTTCTGTTGAGCTATTTGAAACAATCGGTTTTGCTTTCTGAAATACCCAGACCCCTGTGATCGTACGTCATTTTAAGGGAAAAAAAATCAAGTAATTACATGTACATTTTTGTCTTTTCATATTGTTATCATGTAGGAGTCACGAATATGTGATGAGCAACAACCGCAACAATTACTGGAGTTGTTTTTCTCGATTTATCAAATCAGCTAATGTGTCTTCGCTATTGCAGACCCGCCACTTGTTAATATTGTAATGCTCAGACGCCCTGTTTGAGGACAGTAGCCTTATTTAAAAAAGAAAGAAGAAAAAAAAAGGCTAAACAGTATTCAGGGTCTATGTAGAACACTAGATAATCATAGCACGTAAGCTATCTTTCTCTTTATTTTCTTATATCTGTAACACTTGGCACCACTTAAGTTCACTTTATGGTCAGTGCTTGTACTGTTGCATCTTTTTATTGCACTAAAAGGACAGTACTTGCTCGATTTTGAGTATGTAGTAATGGTAGACATTACCCGAATCTGATTTTCATGTTTCGTTGAGTTGTTTTCTCAGTATGAGTGTGCTGAAACGCTGATACCGTTGACCTTTAAGTGGAAATGTGAGCACTGTATGAATGGACAGATGCGCGTTTAGGGAGTGGGCAGGTGTCTCAATCTATTTTTTGTGAACCAGATTTTGTGCCAAAACATTGACAGACTGGCATGCTGGTAAATACCATTCATTGATTGTTTGTTTGATGTGTTTTTCCATCTGTGCCTTATTTTTGTGTAGATTCAAACACCGGATTGGTACAAGGATGTAAAGCGGTCGGAAATGATGCAGTATTATGCTGTAGTGTACTATTTCAAAACAATTGGATGGATGGAATTTTAACTAGGTGCATGTAAAGCCAGCTCTGGTGAGTGGGGAACAATGTAGTGTGCTCATTTTCAAAACATGGTGGCAGGACTGGGAGAGCAGGTGAGCTGGTGAAATGTGGATACATCTGCAATGAAATACTGAAGATGTGTTACTACTTTCCCACCCAAGCTCCTGCTCTCACTCCATGGACATGTTAAGCTTTGAAACAAGCCAATTTAAAGTAATTTATATTTGTGAAAAACCACCGTTCAGATTAATTGTTCTGTACATATGTTTATAGACCTATATGTATTAAACTTTCCTACATCATGGACAATCTCTGTTTTTGTTCTTAACTGATAATTAAAACTAATAGCAGTTCTCATAACTAGTTTTATGCAAAACTACAATGTCAATTGCGGTCTTCGTTAAGTTTCAACAAGTTAACCAACTTTAATTTTTCATTCATTTAATGTTTTATTTAGGACAAACCCCTGAATGGTAAAATAAAAAATAAAATTTAATTGACTCGGCCGTTCGTGCCTTTGGCTTCATCGCGTGCACTGGGAGTCTGATGACTTGCGCAACTGTACTTCCGCGTTCTACTCAATACAGCTCGGGAGTTTCCAATCGGCGTTTAGCGCAGAAAGCAGATTATTACTGTTTTAGGGCTGGAATAATAAAAAAAATTAGTCAAATTCTCTGCGTTAACATGAATTATCTTCAACCTGCTGAAATGTTCCTCAGTCATTCTTGAGAAGTGGGACAAAACAGGGTGCAAAATTGAAAAAATAAAACCTTGTACTCAGACAAATGAAACTACATTTATGTATCTTATATGTACCAAGCTACTGAGCTATGCTTTGATACAACCTCCCAACTTTTCTCCTTTTTAACAAAATGTGCTTTTTTTAGAAACACACGTCATTGTTGTCATGTGGTGAATTTGGCCAATCTTGAAACAGCTGTGTCCTCATCAGCACTCCTGCAGTCGCTCTGAGAACAAAAAAGCCTTAAAAACTTTATCTATCTGTAACTCTTTTCCTATCTTTAATGACATGTAAATCTCAATTTTATTCTTTCAGTTTGTAATGTATTAACAACCCCCTTTTTCTTTGTTTTTTCCTTTTCTTTTTCACATTTCCTGTTGACATAAATTTAAGACATACTCAGATATTTAAACTGGCCTCTTCTTTTTCAGGTGATGACCTCTTATTAAAGTGTGGAAGTTGTGGTTATTTCAAAATCAACAACAACAACAACAAAATAAATGTGTAATCAAAAATCAACAGCTATTTTTGTCTGCACTTAGCCTAAAAGTAGTAGAAGAAGAAGAAGAAGAACATTAAAAAGCATTATTTTCCCCTTCTTTTTGTTATGGTTGTGTTTGTATTACCATTGGCATAATCTAGATATTTCTCCAATTATAGGCCTATCTATTTTAGATTATTAGTTGGATTGTATGTAGTGGATTGCAATGTCACATCTAGATGTGACAAACTTGAATATTTGCTAGGGAAAGCCTAGTATGAATGTCTAAAACAGTGTAATAAGATTTAAGTGTGCAGTAGCTAAGTGTCATTATACACTTTTACACGTCACACATATTGTGTTTAAAACTGTTACCTCACACCACCAAAATACACTGGCTTTCGGACGACAGAAAATTACTTACAGAAATTCCTCTCGAAAAAAGTCAATAATAAGCGCAGAAAACAAACAATAAGTGCAGAAAATGTATATTTTAAATTTGAAAAAAATTATTTCATTTATTTTGACAATGCGCCCCGAGCCCACGTTTCCACGGCGGAAGATTGGCGTCTGTTCACCCCAACTAATAGAGAACATTCATTATATATAGATCAGTGGTCGCGACCCGGTGGTTGGGGACCTCTGTTCACTCTTTGGTAAAACCATGGCTAATTTTTGTAAGAGCATTATTGCTTGTGCGCGTTGGTGCTCCTATTCATATTTTTTAAATGGCTGAATGAATGTGCGGTAACTGCCTTAAAGAAATTTTAATGATGTTAAACATTTAATAAATTTTAACAGTAACGCGTTGACAGTGCGACTACTTTGAATATTCATATTTTGGTATTGCATACAGTGAGATGATTGTGAATGAAAAATGACAGAATAGTGACATATTTACATACATATTTTTAAACATAAACATAACCCAGATAAAGAAAAGGTTCATTCTGATATTCATCAGATCTCACGTACACTGCAGCTTCGCGATTAGTTTAGAGCATTGACACCCCGTGGTGAAACAATCACATGTTTACCAGCCACTGTTTTCTCACATCGGTTTATGCTGGATTAAAACTTCACGTTCCATTCAGTTTGGAAAATTCTGCACACAGTAATCATCAGAATATCTCTTCGCCTGTCTCTGAAAATGTCCGGATTTTGAAATCATTCCACGGACTCTCATTTTAATAGGCATTTAAGTCAACTAGATGATTATGGCACATCGAAAATATACATAACCGGAAATAACAGCGGTATTATTTCAAAACGGAAGTGCGTCACGAGGCTCGTGCAAGTAGTCCATTGCTAAGGTGAGACATTCTTCAGTCCATATTGTATATTATGTTGTTTTTCAGCACGCTTTAACATTAATAACATATTTAAGTTATTAAAGAAAATAAGGGAATTAATATATAGTTATTGCGCTGGTTAACGTCCTTTAGATATGATATAGGCCTAGCCTGTTTTGAATCATAATGACGAATTGGATTAGAAACGTCATAAAAACCTTTTAAATCTTTCTGCTCAGTCTTTTCGCTTATAATTGTTGATTCTTTATAAGTGGGGAAAGCACCTTTGACTATCAATAATATCTGAGGTTTATAGAGCAAAAGTTACAATAGGGCTCAAACACGGTAATGAACATTGTTCTCTTTAGATAGGATCACGGCTGTAGTCTAAAATGATTCAGCAAATTGAGTTTACTTATTGTACCATTAGGTGGCAGTCTTAGCTCAACGTACTTACACTAAGTCTAATGCTGTGGTGAAGTCCACTTGCATTGTCAAACATGAATTCAAACAAAAAGGAACACAGCTGGATACAAAAACCCAAACATCAAAAATATATCAACATGACACTTTATTTTTCTTCAATAAATAATTTACAGTATTTACAGGTGGTGTGTGGCACCGCTTTAGTCCTACATACAAAAACTGACTAAGCTGTCTGGTATCTCCCATTCAATGTTAATACATTTGAAAATGTTATCATTCACTTTTATTTTTTAGCATAACCTCTTTCACCATCAAGTTAAAATCAAGTAAGAGCTAGGTTAAAGAGAATAAAAACATAAAGTGCTTTTGTAATAAACAACACATGAACACCGCAAGTGACACGTTTCCTACTTACTATTTAGTTAAAGGACATGATGTCTCTTTTTTTACTCTTGTTCCAAATGAGATTGTAAGTCCCTTCTCTTATTTTTTTGTGGTGTTTGTGTACACAATATCCCTTTAAATTTAAAGGTAAATTTCACCACACCCTCTGATGTACCAAAAAATCAGCACAAAATATTATTTGCTAAATCACACAAACTTATATACATGTCACATTACACATATAAATCCAAAAAGCACTGACAACACAAGCACACTTAAACACAAGTCATTACAATCATTTTGTATGCTTTCAAAAGTCTCTTTAAAGCCATGAACTGCACCAACAACACAAGCTTTCTTAGCAGTAGTAAGGCTCGCAAAACTTTACAGCGTACGAATAAATTATCATGAAGTCTTTCAAAGGATTCTTTATGTATGATTAATATCTAAACCATATTTTCATAGTTCAAACTTTTTACTAAGAAAACAAACACTGACAAGAGACAACAGTGACAGATGTTCTTAGAAGAAATGGGATATGATGAAGATGAAGTTATGTGGGCTTCATCTTCCATAAAGACCTTTCCAACAGTCTCTAGACATGGCCTAAAAAACTATTACGCTACCAAGGGTGCAGTTTCACTCTTCAAAATAGTGGCGCTATGTATCGTGTGACTTTAGCTCGCCAATACTACTAATGCTATTTACAATACTGAGTGCCAGTAATCCTGAGCCTGCTAATGGCTGAAGAACAAATGCCCCCATTTCAAATGTCACAAGAAATGCATGGCAGATGTTCTCAATAGCTCCTGAACTGGTCCATCCACCACACTGTAGTTAGCAGCACCTTCCAATATTATACTCAATCAGGACATCTGGTTTGAGCCCAAATACTTAAGTGAACCACAAAAGGTCCCACGAGAAAGAGAAAATTCAGCTGTTTGGGAAATTGTTGGCACCATGGCTTGTTCTTTGGCAAAACGCCTCCGCCATAAATTCACAGATCTACAGAGTCGTGAGTTAAACGGGGCCTACAGCACAGCCACGTCGACACCCTTTTGAAATGGAGAGCAAGGCGTTGCTCTTTAAGAAGCAGTAAGGATGGTTGATTGACCTTCCTTGTGGGTCCCATCTCAAACTGCAAACATTGTATGGAGGAACTTGGCTCTCTCCTGGATATATACGTTGATGGTTATGCTACCTACTGCAAACTGACATGATTATTTTTTTTCCACAAATGTGTTTATCTGAAGCAAGTGTGCTATTTTCAAAGACAACTCTGTCTTGGGCTATACAATTGTATGACGTGAATTATTATTTTTTTTATTCAATGGCCTTTACTTTGTGAACAAAGTTGTTCTCTATGTGCCTAACAGTTGTTCAGGCTGACTTTGAACACCCAATTTGACAATGGAGAAAATTCAATTAATATTTTCCAAAATTATAACACCTAAGCAGTATGGGTGTAGTTTAAAGTCTGTTTGACACAATGGTTGACACCCTTTTTTATATAAAATGTAGGAAAGCTCTTGGCAGGCAGTAAAACTTCTTACTGACCCATGAACCACCACACCAGAGCTACATTAGGGCCCTGGGTGCAATATACAGATATTATGAAACACTTCACTCATACACACACAAGCATTCATATAATCACCCACAAAATAACACGTCTTTCTCTTGCACACACACATAGACAAACTATACAAAAGGCCTGATGTTATGGCCTCTGTAGACAACATGACTTACTAGTCTGACATGGCCTTGGCCAGGGGGTTTTCTCTAGAAAGCTAACATTTTTCCGAAGCTGGAGCTTCTTCAAAGAGAGAACTCCTGCCGGCCCTCCAACGTTTGGAGACGTTAATAAAAGCTCCTGTCATGTCCTCCAGCCTGGCTCCGGGAGACATACTTCATCTCTCACTTGGCATCAAGTGAACTGAAGAACATCTCCAAGCTCTTCTTTCTGCAAAGGATCATCCCCCTCTCACTCCTGTCAGTGGCACATCACCCTGGTGGGAAAAAGGGTGGTTTAATCTGACTCGAGTCTCAGGACCTCTCAGCACTGCTTTCTCTGTCATGAAGCAGTTATGAGATCAGCATGATTAACCACAGAGATGGGTGGATCTCCAGGAACGCTTCAGCTCTGGCCTGATGAATGAACGTACGCGATGATGACGAGAGATGAGTCCATGGCGTGACACAAGACACACAAGTGTGAAAGCCCTCGGCAGAAGCTCAGGCTCTAGCTGAGAAGCCCAGCCTCTGATAGATGGAACACAACACTGTGAGAGCAGCATTTCACATGAATACAGCATCTTACATCCATCTAACAAGGATCTCCATTGGGGACTACAGACAAATGAAACACAAGTCAGTCCATAACTGTGCTACAACAAGGCTGAGGATTAGGAAACTAAAACCCCATTTTTCTGAGGCAGAATTGAATATTGTATCCCTTTCGAAGAGGTGATACTTGTCTTTGTTGGAGTGGAGCATTTTAACATCCTCAAAGGCGTAGTAGGCCGCCAGGGTGAAGTTGATGTCCCCAGAAGATAGCAGGTCAAAAACACAGGATTGGAAATACAAATCCTCAACTGGTAGACGTTCTTTGCACTTGGCCATGGCTGACTGGTATGTAAAGCCATGTGTAGGAGTGCCTGACCGTCCCCTGCCTAAGCCTTGGCTCTCTGCCGCATGTGCTCTGAAGGTCCTGAAGTCTATTCGCTGGTTGGCAGGGCAACCATGCAGGCAGAGGTAAAGGTCCTGGTTGTCCTGGTCCTCCACCGAATTCACAACCTCCTCTGGCATTCGCACTGCAAAGGTGAGGTAGCGGCCAACCTGCCGAACTACAATAGTGGTGCCGATATAACGTGCCTGGATCTCCACATGTTGTCCAGGCACCTTCTCTACTATACGTAGGGTGTTGGCCCCATGGCGGTCACCTCCGTTTTTTGAACCATCAGCAAATGCAGCTGGAAGCTCATCAGTCTCTGCATGGTACATCTTCTGGTCTACACATTCTTGAAAGTTCTTGAAGATGATTGTTAGCTGTAGTAAAAGTGAGAGTGAGAACGAGTTATTTGCAAGATTATTTAAATTGTACTCTATTAATTATGGTTTTGGACATAAATAATTTAAAACATCGGGAACAGAAAAAAAAGCCATTAACTGAAACTGTAAAAACATTAACTGAATTGTTTTAGTTAACAACAGAAATTATAGCCTAAATCAGATTCTAGAAAAAAAGTAGATGGCTAGAAAACATTTAACGTGCACAAAGTTTTGATGTTGAAAATGCTATATTTGTTCAATCAAAACCAGCCAAGAAACAGCAACCACAGACATAAACTGTTTTATGCACCACTGCATATGGCAAAAGATGGTGACTGAGTACTCCATTCTGCATAACTGAGCCTTGTCTTTATAAAACCAGAGGACTGTGTCGTGCAGACCCTTCAAGCCTAGAAGCTTTCGTAATGTCACATTTCAACAGCAGCTCAAGATACAGGGGGCCAATGTAAACGCACTCTGGAGAAACACAGGTCCAGTCTATGTTACAGCAGGCCTCAGTATGCAGACACAAAGACAATCCTTTCATGCTGCTCAGAGCCTGCCTGTGAACCCCAGATTCAGCTCCAGGGAGTGGACTCACGCCAGCTAGAGAGCACAGCCTGCACAGGGGCTAATTAGAGAAGGCTGCTCCTACCTCTGAGTCCTCCAGCAAGCAGCCATTAGGAGGCCAATGGACTGCTGACACATATGTGACCTCGGGATGTCCAGGCTGCTCTGATCTTGCAAATGATGCATATGAGTGTGTGTGTGTCTATGTCTGAGTGTAGTGGAGACTCAGTTAAGCCAAACCACCCTATAATCACTAATGGTGCAGTGATCTGCCTCCTGTTAGCACCACTTTAGTTTTTTTAAAGCAAAGGGTCTATCAATAAACAAGGGACGTCTTGTTTGCACAGGTGCCATCTGCCTGCAGACTTGTTTTTCGCTTTTGTCCGAGCTGAATGACTCCAGAGCCACTGTCATTTATTAAAAAAACAGTCCGCTTAACAAAAATATCATGATCCCTTTCCCTCCTACCTCGGGATGTCCAGGCTGCTCTGATCTTGCAAATGATGCATATGAGTGTGTGTGTGTCTATGTCTGAGTGTAGTGGAGACTCAGTTAAGCCAAACCACCCTATAATCACTAATGGTGCAGTGATCTGCCTCCTGTTAGCACCACTTTAGTTTTTTTAAAGCAAAGGGTCTATCAATAAACAAGGGACGTCTTGTTTGCACAGGTGCCATCTGCCTGCAGACTTGTTTTTCGCTTTTGTCCGAGCTGAATGACTCCAGAGCCACTGTCATTTATTCAAAAAACAGTCCGCTTAACAAAAATATCATGATCCCTTTCCCTCCTACAGGAAAGAACTGTGGGTCCATCTACTTAATGGGGAATCATTAGAGGTTTTTGATGGCGGAAAATTGCTCTGTTTCTTAACGTGACTGAGTACAAAGTTCTTGTGTTTTTCTGCCACAAGGAAAGACTCTGAAAAACATTCAACCCTGGTCACAAAATTACAGCAGCCAAAAGGACATCAGGCATAGTGAAATTAGCATTCGGCAATCGGACACATAAACTTGTAGTCCTGTTTTTTCACCTTAGGCTCCACAGCTGGCCAATTCTAAGGCAGCTCCCTAGTTTGTTCAATGGGCCGTAAAGCAAAACAATGATAATTTATGAGGTATGAGGGCCAACTAATGCAGAGAAAATATCGACTGTTTCCTGTATGGACTGAGCACTTAGTTAAAACAACAAGACTCCTATATCACACAAACAATTGTAAGGACTGCCACAGATATAGTAGCATTAGTTTTGAATGTCCGAAAAAAAAAAAAATGAAGGCACTTGAGCCTGCTAACATTCTAAGTTATTACCTCTCTTTTGTTGCTGGCACTTCTTAAAAAAATATCTTATCTTATGTCTTATCTCGTCTTCATCAGTCGTGGAACACATCCAAATGCTAACTAGAGTCTGTGCTTACAAAGTCTGCTTTCTCTTCCCGCTGGTAAAACCACACTTTCACCATTAACTAGTTCCGTGCTGAAACAGTTCCTTAAAGTGGTCATATGATGCAATTTCAATTTTTCCTTTCTCTTTGAAGTGTTGCAAGCTCTTGGTGCATAAAGAAGATCTGTAAAGTTGCAAAGACTAAAGTCTCAAATCCAAAGAGATATTCTTTATAAAAGTTAAGAGTCAACCACGCCTACCTAAAACGGCTCGTTCTAACACGCCCCCACATGTCTACGTCACGATGTGGGAAGATTTGCATAACGCCGCCCAAATGTTCACGCAAAGAAAGAAGGCGTAACTTTTATTCTCGCTGTAGTATTGTTGCTGCCACCATGTCGTGAAGCGACCTGAAACACCAAATACACAAAATAATGTTCTTTTTAGCAACATCATATGACCCCTTTAAAGTTCCTTAAAATGTGGGCTATGGTTGAAAATCAGCTGCTGAAATAAGACCGCAGACTGATGCTGAAATGACTTTTGCTTGTTTTTTATGTGAGGCACAAAATATCCTTACCTTGCTAGTAGCTGTAGCAGAAGATCCAGGTACAACAGGAGTGTTCGTAACCTGCACGGACAGGTACTTATTGTGAATCAGTGGCCAGGCTCCCTCAACTTTACAGGTCTGAAAGTCATCGTTGAATGTGCGGAGATGTGGGTCCCCAAAAAAGCCACAGTGAGTGTAATTGGGAGGCGCAGCATTACGTGGTAAACTCCGCTCGTAATGGCACACCTCTGGCCTGTCAGAGGGAACGTTGATGTCCGGTGGTGGCTGGACCGGGGGCGGGGGTGTGCGGGCATGAGGCTGGGTAGTGGGCCCTTCTTTAGAGCAATTGTGTTGGCTCATAAGATCCTCGATACCATGTTGGGCTGAATGGTAGGCCAGGTCACCCCGGCACGTACGGGCAGTGCGTCGGACACAGTTGTTATACGCTCTCAGAGCGATGCAGAACTCCTCTTCTGGGCCAGAGCTGGAGGTGGAGGCCCAGAACTCGGAGTTACACTTGAGGATCTTACACTGCAGAGTTGCTGTAAAGTGAAAAGAGAGATAACATAAACACACTGTCATGGTCAAACCAAGTTTACAGAAAGCTGAAATGAAATAAGTATCAACCGGAGTAGCTGACAAAACTGATTAAGCTTTTAAATTGAAAACTAACAGTTATAATAAAAACAAAGGCTTTTGAGAAAAAGAGTTGTAAAATAACTTGTCCTTTACATTTTTAATCAAGAATAGCCCATTTTCATTTCTTATAGTTAATTTTACACACTCTTTGCGCTTTTTATACACATTTCATTTAGTAATACTTTTTATTCTGATTATGTCAGTACTGAACTTTAAATGAAGTTCAGTTTATTGTTATGTTCATGAATGCCAGTTGCTCAAGGCTCTCATAACAACACATTAATTATCTCTACATCTGGACAAAGTGAGGCTTTAATTCCATCAGTAATAAAAAACAACATTCCGACTAAGTTCCAAGTTTCTGTGTTTTGCCAACTTCCATCAAGTCTAAGTGCTCTAAATGTAGTATAAAGCAAGGCTAATGTTGTCTTGTTGCCTTTTCAAAAAGAAATAAAAAAAACATTAAAGTAGGCCAATCAACATTTGTTGATTTAATGTGAAATTCAAAATGTTAATGGAATATTCTGATTATGTCGATCACAGGGGAGAAAAGCTCAACACTTAAGAGCTATTGTAATACAAAACGTAAAGCAATAAGCATCTAAATAGGCATCATTACAAAGTAATGAACTCTCAACAAGCTTATCTAACTTCATTACCTCACCATGAATGACATCACTTTATATTAGTAAATGGGCCCATTTGGATATTGAACAATATCACACTTTTTAAGGGGCAACACAAATGAAAAGCATTAAGACAAATGGAAAGGAAGCCTTCAAACTGACAATCACACCAACACAAGTCTATTATTTAGAAGTGTTAATCATCTCGTATCATATTCACACTCGTCACACCTTGTGCTGTAATTTTGCATTGCTAAGCAGATCGTGGGGGTGCTTTTGAGTGAAGCACCATGGGTGTCAGTGACCGAGGGCAAATGCACATCTGAAAAAAATCACTTAGGGTTTTAACAGAAGGGGTTAGCTGTGTGTGTGTGTGTGTGTGTGTGTCTGTGGGAGGATGTAGTCCTAGGACTCTGAATGAAGACAATGCAATTTGCCATTGAGAAGAATCCAGCAGTCATAAATTAGCCCTGTGTAAAGGGATTAGGTAGAGTTTCATCAGCCATGCAGGGCAGGAGGGAAGGGGGGCTAAGGACTGCCTTAAAGAAACAGGATCTCTGGAGAGAAACTGGCTCCAGGACCAATGGGCGGAACACAGAGTAGGTCTCACCATTCCACAGGTCAAACTGGATATGAGATAGCCCCCTGTCCAGAGCAAAAGGCCATAATCAAAGGCAAAAGCAATTTCAAGCACATTCCCCTTTCTCGGATTACAAGAGCTGAATTGAAATCTGAAGGCTTTTCAATCATGTGTTTTTTCATCATTTCCGTTTGATAAAATGCAAGAACATGCCAAAACTACACACAACTTTGTTTCCAATCTTTGTTGTCTCAGTCACACACACACATCTTCTACTTTCCAGCTACAAAGGGCATTTATCATCCATCTGAGAAGAGACAATAGGCTAATTTAAGATGTCAACGACTAGTGCTTGCATGATTGCCTTTTGTTTGGGGTTAAATAACTTGAAAGAAGATGGGACACAAGGTGTGAAATCAAACTGCACACTACTTATAACTGACCAGAGCCTTGACAGAACAAAACAACACTTGTAAATTCCATTATAGTGAGATACACCGGAATTAATTATCACATTTGGAAAACACTGTTGACCCATAATCATGTAATTCACTGTGAAATGAATGCATGCTAGGTCATTAATCATTTAAAACCATATTGGTATTCGTGTTTGTTAAAGAAAAAAAATTTATTCCAATTGAGTGGTTATGATCTCTGGTCAATCAAACATGCAGACATAAACACGCTGCGTAAAAAAATATCAATAATGGTCACATTCAAATTTTAATTTTAGATAAAAAAAACTCTACACTACAAAACAAGTAACTTCAAGTGACAGCAACTGCAAAACTCATTCATGACACAGTGTATACTGGGAACATAAGTATCAATTTAATACTGTGGACATCAAATATTACTGTTAATCTATAAAAAAGACTCTAATGTAGTGCAAACAGATATAATGTCTGTGATCCTACAACACTACACTTTAAAGGGGTCATATGACATTGCTAAAAATAACATTATTTTGTGTATCTGGTGTAATGCAATGTGTTTATGTGGTTTAAGGTTCAAAAAACACATTATTTTCCACATAATGTACATTATTGTTGCTCCTCTATGTTTTTAATCTAAATTAGATTGTATAATTTTGAAATTTGAAGCAAAAACAGAATGGTTTGACTTCAGTTTTGTGAAACTATACATAAAAATATCTGCATGAAACAGAAGCAGCAGACGAGCTGACTGAGACGCAGATTCACTCTCTGCCAGCAGGTGGCGCTTAAAGCGTTTCCTTGGTTTCTGCTGTAAACAAAGTAGCGGCTGCTCTTATGAACAGCAATGATTGTTTGTTTCCTTGGTTACCGCTGTAAACAAAGCAGGGCTGCACTTATGAACTTTAATATGCTTTATACAGAGGCAAGATGAAAAGAGAAAATACTATCTAAACTTTTCTAAAGACAGTAAGTTCCCCTCAGACATACATTCATATAAAGGTCTACCCCTAATTGAATCCTGATTTGTTTAGCATCTCAACTGATTTGAATCATCACATATTTAAATCGATTTTCAACCAGCTGGCGGTTAATCGTTACATCCCTAATGAAAACATACTTACAGGCTGTGAGTCAGAAGCAGCAACGGCAACAGAGAGAATAAAAGTTATGCCTTCTTTCTTTGCATGAACATTTGGGCGGCATTATGCAAATCTTCCCACATCGTGACGTAGACGTGT